ATTTTTAATGGCTGGAACGCTCTAAAAATATTTTTAAAAATTTTGAAAACTTGACAATTTGATCAATTTGCGAAATTCATGTAATTTTTACTGAGGTATAGAAGTGGTCTAACCCGGAAAAAATTTGGTGTTTTCCTGCAACCCCCTCCCCCCCCGCTAACAGCCCAGTACCCGAATTTCAGCGAAGAGAGCGGTACCCCGGGAAATTGATACTCACCTCATTGAGGGCGGCCTTGGTCGTGGCGACATTGATGCGCGTGCCGCTGAGGTCGATGTCGAAGGTGAGACACGTGCTCCCGTGCAGCCACCGCTCGTACCCCTTGCCGCCGCGCTTGACGACCGTCTCCGGGGACTGGCCGTCGTCGTACTTATTGGGGTTGGCGAGAACATCCCTCAACAGCACCATCGACACCTGGAACAAGTTCGAATCATCATTTTGAGGTTCTTTTGTATTAACGGGGGGGGGGGGCCCACGAATTTTTTCGATGTCTAGAAATGTCTAGTAAATTAATAGGAAATGTTTTTATAGTTTTCTTATTAACAAAATAACTATATTGATAATAACCATTTGCCGAAAGGATATTTTTTGATAATTTTTAATGAAATTTTGTATAAATTTACGTTTAGGAATAGTAAAAAGCCATTTAGACACACTTCCATTATTTAAAATTCGAAAATAAGATCCTAAGGAAAAACAGTTGGTCCCCCCCGATAATGCAAAAGAATCGAAAAATGATAAAAATTTCGAGTTTTCAAATTTTTCAAAAATATTTTTATGACTTTCTGGCAACAAAAAGCTACAAGCTATAAAAATGCATTAAGTACCATCAAAATGCAAAAAAATGATTTTCCCCCACTAAAATCTTATCCCCGCTAACAGTCTAGTACCAAATATAAAAAAAATCCGATTTTTCAAAAATATTAGAATTATATTTAGTACTTCCTAGCGATCAAAAACCATTAAAAACAATAGAAAAATACTTCATAAATATCAACAGTCGGGTCTACCAAAAAAAAATTATTCCCCGGCCCCCCCGCTAACAGACCAGTACCGGAAACCCACCTGGACCAGTCGATCGGGCACCGTGGCGCGCACAAAGCCGACAATGGGGATCTTGGTGCTCTCGACGGTTCCCAAGTCGACCTTCAGCTTCTTCGCGTCCCGATCGTACATGCGGTAGCCTTTCATCTTCGGCACGGCCAAGCCCTGCGACTTCAGCGCGTTCGTGTAGTACTGCGTCGTCTTGTCGATCAGAACATCAATACATTCGTCGTTGGGGGCGAGGGCCTTGTCGAGGAAGACGACCACCTCAACGTAGGGTTTGCGTTGGCTTAAGTGCAGTTCACCCCCCCCCCCTTATCTTATTCACCTTTTGTATCTCGGCTCCCTGTTCATCCACAGGGGTGTAAAGTATACCAAAATACTCGCAAAAGTAAGACGAACATTTTAATATACTTTACACACCTGTAGATGTGCAGGCAGCCTAGATACGGTAGGTGGGGGTCGGCTGGCGGGGTAAAGTGCACTTAAGCCGCGTTGCCCCCGGAAATTTCGTACGGCACTATCATAACTTTCGTAAAACTGCTGCATCTACCTCTTTCCCCCCGCTAACAGCAAAGTACCAAAATTTCGAGCTAAATTTAAAAAGCGGCTACCTGGAGAGTCGTCGTCCCGTTTTCATGAGGGGTTTGCCAGAGGTTGATGTGCCACGCAGTTGTTAAGGGTTTGGCTTCGACGCGCGGAGGCGGGCTCGTTGGGGCCCTGGCGGGTTGTGGGGTGGGCCGCGGAGGCGCGCTCAGTTGAGCCGTGCTGGGCTTGGGGGTTGGCGGAGGTGGGCCGGTTGGGGCCTTGGCGGGCTGCGGGGTTGGCGGAGGAGGCGCGCTCGTTTGGGCCCTGGCGGGCTGCGGGGTTGGCCGAGGGGGCGCGACGAACGTCGGGGTGATCGCGGTGATGGTCAGCAGGGGCTTCGGCGTCGTGCTATTGGCCACGGCGGGCTGCTGGCGCGGCACCGGCTTCGTTTCGTACGTCTCGAGAGGCTCGAGAGGAAAGAAGATGTCCAGCACGTAGTCCCAGGCCGCGAAGCCGCCGGCTAGAAAGGAGGCTACGGAAAGGGTGCAGTTTACCCTCCCCAGCCGGCGCCCAACTTGCGTATCTCGGCTCCCTGTTCATCTACAGGTGTGCGCCAGAGCAAGACAAACATTTTGATATACTTTACACACTAGTAGATGAACAGGGGTTCGAGATACGGTAGGTGGAAGTCGGCTAGGGAGAGTAAACCGCACTCAAGTCTAGGATACTGTACTGTTAGTTGGGGGGGGGGAGTGTAATAGAGGGCTGGTTGGATTAGAGGAAATATGGTATTACGGCTACGGTTTACTTGACCCCCCAGCCGGAAGTTTTTGGCTATAACTTTTTTATTTTACATTATTGTAGGCGCAAATTAAAACTCTTAGTATATTTTTCGACGCTCTATCGAATGGCGTTGCGAAAATCCCGACAGAATAAGCGAAAATACCGACAACTTTGAGACCCTTCGGCTGTGGGGGGGTAAAGTAAACTCTTACCGGTATTACTCAAAGACAAGCGGAAAACAATAATTATCCCCCCACTAATAGTCCAGTACCCAGTTTCCCCAAATCAAGTCTCACAGAGAACGGCAATCAATGTAATGGCGATTCCAACGAAGGCGCCAGCAATGTACATCGGGTCTCCGCTGAGCAACGTCTGGACGAACATCGTAAGGTAGTTCTTCGCCCTGAAATGAAAACGGGAGTTCCGGTCAAGTGGGTAAAAACTTAAGGTTAGACCGAAAATTTCATTCTTGTGGCTCAAAAAACCAATTTTCGACTTCTGAAAAGAAACATCCAACTCCCAGTTTTTGAAGAAAAAGCAAAGGCAAAACTCCAGACAACCCCCAGCCGGCACCCAACTTTTGTATCGCGGTTCCCTGTTCATCTACAGGTGTGTGAAATATACCAAAATATTTGTCTTGCTTTGGCGAGTATTTTGGTATACTTTACACACCTGTAGATGAACAGGGAGCCGAGATACGGTAGATGGGGGGTCGGCGCGGGGGGCTTACCTCGAGTTTAGCCACAGCAAAAAGTCTTGTCACGGCGGGGGGGTCGAACCCCGGCCTTGTGCGCGCCAAGCGAGCACAAAACCAATGAGCCAACTGACTGAGGAGGCTGGAACAGGGAAGGACCTCTTCCCCGCCAGGTGGACCTATCCACGGTTTAGAAAACAGGCCTGCTATGGAGTTGAACAATTTCATAAAATTGAGGCGTGATGGTTTCTTTAAACACTTTGACCAGAAGTCAACAAAAATCGGAAGAAAAGCCAACTTGAAAATGTGGTCGCATAAATTTGTATGCCCTAATTTGAATAATTGCAGCTGTAGACAAAAACCGACCAAGGGACCCATTGAAAGAACGGATAATCCAGTTCGACAACCACCATCTCGGATGATGAAGTGACGATCCAATGAGAATGGCATTTGTTCGTGGGTTTCCGCGGGAAATGATTCGATTACGTGATGCTAATTTACTATTCATTTCTGTCATGTAATTGCTCCGTATACCTAGACCTGTAGGCAAGTGTGTTATTCGGCCGTGGGATTTTAACCCAAGCGTAAGATAATTTATTCAACACCCGAGAAACATGACGAAGTATCAGAAGAAGCAACAAATGTGCCTTAAAGCATACAATTGTTAGAAAGCGGTTTGATCCCCCGCCCCCGCCACTTGCGGACGAAAAACTTCTCTTCAAAACGATATAACCTTGATTTAAAAAGGTTCCAACTTCAGTTTTCGCTTATTGACATGCGAATAGTCAGTTTTGATCCCAAAACGAGCCCCAAATTCAAACTGCGGCTGTCCGGCAAAAGATTTAGAGCCGCAACCGTCGTGGCACCAAGTGTCTTGACACCGTTTAATCAACTTACGGTGGAACCTCAGGTTGAGGTGCAGTTAGGCAAAACGCTCGCGGCTCCCCTAGGTTTTCGACTAAGGCGATTTCAACGCCCTAGTCAGAATTTCCTAAATGGACATGTGGACAGAGATACAGCACTTCCGGAAAATTACGATTAGCCTCTCCGATATTAGCATTGCAGATAGGTCTATGAGGTTATCCCATTACCAATGAATCACCAATCGAATGGCCGAGTGGCTAGCGACTCACTTGATAGGATACTGGTGAGGGTTCGAATTCGCTTCGCGATTTTTTATTTTGCTTTTTGATCGGAAAGTGTGCCCCACTCCAAGTTTTGATTGTTACCTTAGAAAAATTTTTGGCTTGCCCCAGTTAGAGTACTCCAAAGCAGCGTCAAAAATACGAATAGGAATGATTTGCTAGGATGAGATGAAAATCGCCATTTTGGGGAAGTGTTGTATCTCTGTCCACACGCCGATTTCGGAAATTCTGGCTAGAGCGTTGGACTCGCCGTCATCGATGGCCTAAGGTAGCGGCGAACGCTTTGTGGCCTAACCTTTCTAACCGTGCCAACTGTTAGACAAGCGTGTGTTCGTGCATAAAAATCGTAATTTCCGAAAAACGTAGTTTTTGATGCACTGCATGGAGGTAACTCAGCCCTAGCATGCGCGCCAAAAAGCTTCAGTCCGGCTTCAGTCCTTCATATGAGCCACGAAGTCGCGCAGCAGAGGAGGAAACTGATTGATGACCGAGGTGGTTAAGTCCGGATCGTCGGGCAAATGGCTGAGCTCGTGAATCGTATCGAAGCAATACGTTGCGACGTTCTTCAGAATTCTCCCAGAACTCTTCTTGGGCGGGTTCGTGTTCACGTAATCCTGGCAGTAATCCCAATAACCTTCGACCGCATCAAACATCTTGCCGGTCAACTCGACTTCCACACTGCCGGATTGGCCGGATTGCTTCGTCTGAAATGGTCAAACATTGCTTCTGGACTGGGCTACGGTTTACTTTACCCCCCCCAGCCGGAAGTTTTTACTTTTTTTATTATAAACTATAACTTTTTATTTTACATTATTTTTTACATTACATTTTACAAATTAAAACTCTTATTATATTTTTCGATGCTCTATCGAATTACGTTGCAAAATCGCGACAAAATAACCGAAAATGCCGAAAACTTTGAGACCCTTCGGCTGTGGGGGGGGGGGGTAAAGTAAACGCTTACCCAAAAAGTTGTTGTTCCCCGTTAACAGTCCGGAACCCTATTACGGCCCTTGCCAAAGACACAAAAAACATACCGACAGATCGCTGAACGTCGACCCCTCCAGTGGCTTCAACTCCGTGCCGGCCCAGGATTCGGGATCGAGATCTGGTCGCGTACGGTAGCCGAAAGTCCCCAAGAGCTCTAGAGGATCGCGAAACTAAAAATGGAAAAGGTCATAGAAAAACAGAAGGAGCTACATAAGGCTCCAAAAATCAAAAAACAGAAATCCCTCACCCGGTCAGCAAGCTGCCGCATCGCATAGCTCAGTTGGGGGGCCTCAAAGCATGCTTCGATGTTTTGATCCCAGCATCTGTAATTTTTTTCAATTAAGTTATGTTGGTTTTTTAGACTGCCAAGTCCTTTAAAGTTGCACACGCAAACAACTAATACGTACCGTAGTAAAATCTGTTCAAAAACGGCGGGCATCGCAGGGTCGATGGGCGGGCGAAGGCCCTCGGCGACGCGCGCCAGAACCTCATCGCCCGGTATTTTATCGTACGGCTCCCTAAATGCATCGGCAAGTTTCGGTATTCGACAAAGTTGGCGAAAAAGACACGGTAAGACTCAGAATGCCCCCCCGGCTCGGCTCACCCTATATCTCGGCTCCCTGTTCATCGACAGGTGTGTAAAGTATATCAAAATACTCGCCAGAGCAAGACACACATTTTGGTATACTTTACACACCTGTAGATGAACAGGGAGCCGAGATCCAGTAGGTGGAGGTCGGCTGGAGGGGTGTCGTTAGCTGGCGTACAGCCAAAAAAATTTTGATACCGAAATTTGAAGCCGAAATTTGCATCTAGGTTTTGGAATCCAGGTGCTCATCGTCAAAATTCCGATTCGAAACTAAAGTCAGGGGGGTATCTGGAGTTCAGCCAAAGACACCCCTCCCCCAAATTCACTAGAGCCTAGGGTTGTTTCTCGGAACAGGCCGAGATTCGGAACATTCGGAACAGCAACCGTTCCGACTGTTCCGAATGTCAGGACGTTCGGATTGTTCGGCGTGAATGTCAGGCGTTCCGAGATTCAGGAACCATTCGAGATTCATATTGTGCCGATTGTTCAGAGATGTCGAACGTTCCGAGATTTCGCTGTTCCGACTGTTCCGAGATTCGGAACAGTCCGAGATTGAGCTGTTCCTAGATTCAAATTTTTTCGCATGTAAATTTCGAAACACGATTGAATTTCGATTCGATTCGAGCCCCAATTCGTTCTCATTTCCTTAATTTCCAGATTCAATATCTAATCATCGACGGAATTAAGTGTTCAGTTGCGCCCACACTGCCGTGTCACGGCAAAATCGAAACAGTTACATGCAATCTACACAATTTACACGAAATCGAAATTTACATGCGAAAAAATTTGAATCTCGGAACAGCTCAATCTCGGACTGTTCCGAATCTCGAAACAGTCGGAACAGCCAAATCTCGGAACGTTCCGAATCTCGGAACAGTCGGAACAATATGAATCTCGGAACAACCGCATCATTTGAATCTCGGAATGTTCCGAATCTCGGAACAGCCGGAACACGCGAATCTCGGAACGTTCCGACCAGTCTTTGTTCCGAAAGTTCCGAATCTCGGTCTGTTCCGAGAAACAACCCTACTAGAGCCTCAGTCAAGCAAATCGAAATTTTTGCACTCGCTAATCATCAGGGCCCGTACCAGATTTCAAAATTTTACTAGGGTAGTAACCGTTTTTTACTACCCCGATTAAAATTGTTACTACCCTGGTTAAAAAAGTTACTACCGGCTAAAATTTTGTTACTAGGGGTCCTAAAAAAGTTACCACCCCGCGGAAAAGTACCGATTTTTAGTCGAAATCAAGCTAATTGCTCCGGAATAAACTAGTGAAGCATCACTACGGCCAGTAAAAAAGTACCCGAACCAGCCAGGGACACGAACCGGCAATTTTAGCTGACAGTGTGGTTAGTGAAACTCCAAATCTATAAAAAACTTCCTAAGAAAGGATAAGCAGTTCTAAGCAGTGCCATCGGCTTCATGGCCATCAAGCTTTTTCCTGGGTATATACCTTGGTGTTATATACGAAATCCAATCGGGTCTTGAGTCTCACCCTGACAAAAAAATATTTGGCGGTATTAGTCTCAAATTATTGACCCTGGCCTCTTTCACAAGCACCATAAAGTTGCCGTAGGAATAACCACTACCAAGATAATAAGTTCCGGCCATGAGTTAAATGCCGAAATATGCAAAAAAAATCGGAACAGGTTTACGAACTGGGTAACTCGATTTTTCATGGATTGGAAAAATAAAAAATCTGGCGGATCGGCCCTGCAGATTCCATCGCTAGGGTTAGATAGAGCATTTTGGTACCCGCGACACGCGCTCCGCGGACGCTTACGCCGCTAAAACAGTTTCGTCGCACCGGTTTTCTAAGATTCGATAAGATTTCCACTCACCAAGTATATTAGTACATCTTTGAACTGAGCGAGAAAACAGTCAAAAGGAATTGAGAATTATAATTTTACGAAGCCGTTGGGACGGGACATTTGCTTTACCAGTACTGAAAATGTTACCACCCTAGTAAAAAAAGTTACATGAAAAAACATTGGTGTATCTTTTTTTACTAGGGTAGTAACTATGTTTATTAGACATTTAATCAAGGAAAATACATATGTATGTGACCTTTGTATTGACAGAGAGACCAGTAGACCGATGACCTATCTTTCATACGAAATCATGTTTAGACCGCTTGGGTGCCCATTGACCGGAATTACAAGCTTACTAAAAACGGGGTTACTACCCCTAGTAACAAAAAAGTGGCACACCATCCCAGAGAAATTTTTTTACTCCGCACCACTCTTTTTCTCGGGTGTAACTTCTTTGATCCCCTAGCCAAAAATTATATCGGGGTAAAAACTTATTTAGCCGGGGTAGTAAACTTTTTGTCGGCGTTCCCTGTCGAGCCTTGTCGGTATTTTTCGTATCTGTCTTTGCAAAAACACTGGTTTGCCTCTCAACAACGATGTGACACCGGCCCCGAACTTTTTTTTTGCGCCTGGAGACCTGTTAAATTGATTTAGAATTGCGCAAAACGTCCCACTCGGGGTCCGTGAATCCAAGTCACGGAGCACTTATCGAGGTAGTAAGGATTATACTACCCTAGTAACTTTTTACTACCCTGGGCCGGGGTAGTAAACGAAATTTGGTACCAGCCCAGATTCCCATTGCGGTTCCTTTCTCATAAGCTCCTCATTGTCAAAAAACTTCCTTGACGGGCCAGCGCATCTCGTTCGAACTCACTTGCGTGTCAGCAATTGCCACAAAATTATCCCGAAACTGTAGATGTCGTCCTTGAACCCGCCACTGCCAATGCCGCGCTGAAAAACGCCAGTTTTTTTGGACCGCATCCAGCCCTCCCGTTTTCAGAGAGAATGGCAACTTCACTATTAGCGGACTACATGTCGTAATCTACCTCTAAGATACCCAATTTAACACCTTTTCAATGCCTTGCCCGTCCCATGGTAACCATCAAGCAAAGGTACCTGTGGTGCGTGGTAGCGCGGTGTGTAGGAGCGCCGCGTCGACGCCTGCTCCTGGGACTGCGCCCAATTAGACACCTCGCGCGAACTCGCGCAATCCCGCGCCGACCCGAAATCACACACCCGGATGCTGAGTCGCTTGTATTTCATCAGGATACTGAAAGAATCGTTTTTCTCAATAATTCCGCTTTTTTGTGGTTTTCATATCTCTCACTCTCGCTCTCTCGCTCTCTCTCTCTCTCTCTCGCTTACTTCTGCGGCTTCAGGTCGCCGTGGACAATTTGTTGGTCCTGGAGGAAGCTGAGCACGGATGCCAGCTGGGTGCACCAATGGATAATATGGCGGTGGTTGTACACCGGGAAAATGAGGCGAGCGTTCTCGAAGACTGGGGGGTCAAGAACTGAAAAAAATATTTGGTGGATTTCGATGTTGCGCTCAAACTCGCCGAAAAGAAAAAGGCGCTACGACGAGTCACGGGCACGTCGCGTTCCACTATTTTACCAAATTCCAAATGCCAAAAACCTACTGTCAGCGAGGGTGCCCTCGGCGTGGTACTCCATCACAAAGCCTCCGTCCGGCACGCATCCCATCACCTTGAAAATCGACAGTCTCTCTGTCAAGGAAGCCAAAAGAGGGAAAGAGAGAGGGAGAGAGGGAGAGAGGAGAGAGAGCGAGAGAGAAACAGAGAAAGAGAAAGAGAGGGAGAGCGAGCGAGAGAGAGAGCGAAAGAGAGAGAGAGAGAGATAGTGAGAGAAAATGAGAGTGATCGTGTATTAGAAAGACGCACCTGCACAATGTTTTGATGTTTTCCAGCCAGGCGTCTCAGGAAGTTCAGCTCGCGCGTCAGATTCCTTGCCTGGCCCAACTTCACCGCGAACAACCGCCTAACGGACGTCTATTTTGACGAATTTTTAATTCATAGAATAGCGACATCGGCTAGCAGCGATTCTTATGGAAGAGGTGTCGGCATCAATCCGAGATTATTGGGGACCGAAACGCACCTATCCCCATGCTTTAGCCGATACAGCATCACGGTCCCGAAGCCACCTGAAGCCACTTTTTCGACCGGCTCGATGTCTTGATCGCCGTATTGTCGGAAGGCGTATACCGTCTGCGATGAGCTCGTTGCCATGCTTCCCCTTACGCTTCTGAATTTTGAATCAATGAGGCAGCAAAAGAACAAGAAATTAGTCAAAATTCAGGACTCAAAAATTCATCAACATAAATTTTTGAAGTTTCAAAAAAAACCCGATGGAATTTGGGGCAAAATCTTGAAAATGCTAAATTTCTACTTCGAGTTCGGGACTCAAAAGGACTTTAAAAGACAGCGAGCATCGCCCTTTCCAACGACCACTACGCGACACTCCAAATGACGCAAGCAACGTTTTCGCCCAAACGCCAGAAAACCGCAGTTTACAAAATCACTTTTTACACCTGTTATTTGGAGTGCTGTCCAGGTGTCGAGGCCCAATCGTCTGAAGCGTGATTTTTCCGGTTACTCGATTTAAAAACGGCTTTAGTTGACGCTTTGGAAGTTAAAAATAGCCTTGGGTGCGGCCAGTCATTAGAAAGGGGTTTTTCTGAAGCATTTCAGGTCATTTGCAGATCGCCAAATTCGGTAAAAAAACTCGCTAATTTATGAAATGAAAAAATATGTCTCGATTTACGAAAACAAGCGAAAATGGCTATGCACCGCCGATGGGGCTTTATCACACCGTCACGATCACGGCGGGGCGCGGCCATTTTCTTGTCCAACAAAATGGACGCCGCCAGGTCGGGATCGATGCGTCTTTTAGGGGGCTTTGTGGTCTCGGGACCTAGCTGAAGTAAGATTACTACCCATATTTTTACGCAATATTAGAGACGAGTCCCACTCTTCTATTTATAAAACTGAAAAGGCTGACTAAAAATGACAAAAACAGCGTAAAAAGGCAAAATTTATGTAAACTGCCTGAAAACGATGAAAGTAAAACAAACGTAAGCATTGCAAATCATTTATTCGACAGTAATCCAAGCGGAAATTGCTTTATTCGATTACCAAGATAAATGCACAGTACCAGAAGAAGCAGATAGATAGCAAAAAGGTGCAAGAAAGTAAACAGCTTCTATAATTGCTGCGTGATCGAAGCGGCGAGAGAGCAGGGCGCGACGAGAGACAGCGGAAAGCGCAGCAGATTCCGGAAGTCAGGACCGAACCTTAAAAATATCGATAGACGTTGTCAGGTGGAGAACGAGGGAGAGAGAGAGAGGATATAAAGAAGAGAGAGAGCCAGAAGGAGAGCGAGAGAAAGAGAGAATGAGAGAGCCAGAGAGTGGGAGATAGAGAGAGACAGTGAGAGCAAGAGCGAGAGAGAGATCGAGAGAGAGCCAGAAGGAGAGAGAGAGTGAGAGAAAGAGAGAGAGAGAGCCAAACAGTGGGAGATAGAGAGAGACAGTGATAGCGAGAGAAAGTGAGAGCGAGAGCGAAGGAGATCGAGAGAGATAGAGAGCTAGAAGGAGAGGGAGGGCGAGAGAGAGCCAGAGAGTGAGAGAGGGAGAGAGAGCGAGAGATAGAGAGAGACAGAGAAAATCCCTACCTCAAATTCACCAGCCACCCGGCCGCGGTATCAGTTCCACGTCCCAATAGGCCTTCCTCGCCGCCGGGTCGTCTAAAAGGTAGCTTAGGCTTAGCTTAGGCTCTGCTTAGGCTTGGCTTAGGCTTAGGTCTAGACTTAGGCTTAGGCTAGGTTATGTAAGGCCCCGACTTTTCGCGGGGTCAGGTACGCTAGCAGAGATTCTTTGGGGCACTAAAGGGAGAGTGACAGTAGATAACAACTCACACTTCCACTTCGGGAAGTCGAATGGGTGTCCTATGGGTCCCTTCATAAACGGGTTGCCGACCCACACCATCATCTTCTCGGCCCACCATCCGCCCACCCCGTCGGGCACCACCCCCGGCTTCAGTGTCTCGTTGACGAGAGCCTCCATTGTGGGCGCGACTAGTTTGTACAACATCATAATGTCGGAATTCAGAATGTCGAAATTTGCTAACTTCGAAATTTCATAATGTCGAAGTTCAAAATGTCTACATTTTTTTTGTATCGGATTCGGAAGTTTTCCGGGAAAGTTAGCTTATGTAATTTTGGTTCTGAGCTGTTAGCAGGGGGAGGGGGGAAGATTTTTAGCGGGGGGAACTGACTTTTTTCGTATGATTCTCTACGGCCCTATAACAAAATATAAGCCATTTTATAGCATTTTACATAGTTTTTGCATAGAAAAACGATACAGAAATGACAAAAAAGTTCGAAATTTTTGATTTTTGCACAAAAATGTAGGAAAAATCGCGAAGAACGGTCAAAATTTGCGAATTTTCTAAATTTTCAAAGGATTTAAAAAATCTAGCAGCTACCGAAAAAAACCCAAAAAATACATAAAATAAAATCAACAGGTAGGTCAGGTATAGGCGCAGAAACAAAAAAAATCTCCTCCCGCCCCCGGCTAACAGTCCAGAAACGTAAATGTCAACCTTCTGAAATCTCGACATTCTGAATTTCCACATTCTGAATTTCGACCTTCTGAATTTCCACATTCTGGATTTCGGCATTCTGAATTTCCACATTCTGAATATCGACATTCTGGATTTCGGTATTTTGAAACTAACCCATTTTGTACGTCTCGAGCGCAAGGTGCCCGAGCACCACCATGTCGTCCGGCATCTCGAGCAGGAAATCGCTGGTGAACCACGTGGCGTGATACGCGTCGATGTGGAAGACAACCACGCGGAAAAGCGCAATGTCCTGCTCGCGACAGGCCCGTTTCCAGACTTCGGCCACCCTGTCGAGTCGAGCGCGTCGGGTGGGGAGCGGCACGTCCGGGCCCTTGACGCAGATGTAGTAGCCGAGGCGGTGGAACTGGATGTAGCGCGTCTCGTATTTGTCGATGGGCACGTCGGCGATGCTAGATTGCAGGTGGTTAGGAAAGCAATTTTCAAAGAGCTCTGAATACATTTTTGTATATTGTTAGTTCTTTTGCAAGCATGATCAGAATGTTTTGAGCAAGATAAAACTATTTTTCACTAGAAAAACCATTTAAAAAATTCGAACAATTTACAAAGAAGAAAACATGGGCAAAAACGGCCATTTTTGCTAAAAAACTCGATATTATTGTATTTTTTTAATAAAAATTTGTAAATTTTATGCGTTTAGAAACAATAAAAAACAGTTTAAAAACACTTGCGCTATTCAGATTCAAAAATCGGCTCCAAAGAATAAATTTTCTTCCTTCCGCGATAAAGCCTTTCCCCCGATAATGCCAAAGAACCAAAGGAACACGAAAACACTTCTATTACGTTAGTTGTTCCACCCCCCCCCCGATAAGGCAAAAGCACCCAAACGCTTTTCCAACCCCGGGAAATCCTTTTTTCCACCGAAGAAAATTTCATTCCATTACCTCTCAATGGCCATCTTGCCCATGAACCCCTCCGGGTCGTCGGCCATCTCCTTCGCCAGTTTCACCAGAAGTCCGGCGGCCTCTGCGGGCAGCTTGAAGCTCAGCACCCCGATCAGCCGTGTCCCCTTCTTCACCGGGCACGTCGTACGGACAGATGCCGTTCCCGCCTCGAATTGGCAGAAGACGTGGGAGCCCGAGGTGTCGATCCCATCCTCCTCGACGCCGTCGGTGATCAGCGCCGTCTTGAGCGTCTCTTCAATGTTGTGGAACCTGTCAAATTTGATTGATAGCGGTAATCCTTATTTATCTTCCAAAACGTCATACTAATATCTAATACCTTTTAATAGTGTTTTTCCGGATCTTCTCGTTTAACGGGGGGGGGGGGGTCGGGGTCTTTTTGGGCTACATTTTCCACTTAATAAAGTAGTGTATTTTATAGTGTACTTTTATGTTTTCAATGCCAGAAAGCCCTAGAACAAAGTTAAAATTTTAGAAATTCGCAAATCTTGAGATTTTGGCCATTTTTCCTACATTTTTGAATTTTTGACAAATTTCCCAAATTTATATATTTATTTTTTGAAATTTTTACATTGAAAAAATTGAAAAAGACTATAAAAATTATTTATATTTCGTTAGAGGGATCAATTCAATCGAAGATCAATGTATTCGTTTCGTTATAATTCCCCCCCCCGTTAAGTGAGAAGAACCATTTTTAAGCGATTTTAATTTTGGTGCGTCGATGTTAGCGGGGGAGCAAGACCGAACCTATGCTGGAGGCCCTCTTCAGTCAATCCGGCCTGACCGCAGGCAGCGGCGATGTACACCGTCTCCCTGCCGTCTTCCGGGTCGCAGCGTCCGAGGACCCGAAGGTCCAACACCTCCGGGCCGGCATGTGTATTTTTTTCTTCGTCCTCCTCGATCACGATGGGCCGTCGATCGGGGATAGGTTGAGGAGCAGACCTTGGGAACAGGTAGTAGGCGAGCAGGACGATGACGCCTGAAAATTCAGCGTAAGATTTTGCGGTTCTGGACTGTTAGCGGGGGCGGGGGTTAGCGGGGCAAGTTTTTTCTGGTAGGACTCCAGATAAGCCTTGCGCCCCAGCTGGTATATTTCGCTTCCGTTCATCTACAGGTTTGTAAAGTATACCAAAATACTCGCCAGAGCAAGACAAACATTTTGGTATACTTTACACACCTGTAGATGAACAGGGAGCCGAGATACGGTAGGTGGGGGTCGGCTGGGCGGGGGTATCTGGAGTTTAGCCAATTTTTTTCTTGGTATGGCTCCAGATAAACCGCTCCCAGCCCGCACCCGACTTATGTATCTCCGCATCCTGTTCATCTACAGGTGTTGAAAGTATAACAAAATGTTCGTCTTGCTGTGGCGAGTTTTTTGGTATGCTTTACACACCTGTAGATGAACAGGGAGCCGAGATACGGTAGATGAGGGTCGGCTAGGGGGGTTATCTGGAGTTCAGCCAAATATTTTTGCTAACTTTCTAGCAATCAAAAACCACCAAAAACTATAAAAATACAGAATATATTCCACGTACCCTCTGCTAGGAATCTCGCTCCCCGCTAACATTCCAGAACTACAAAACGTACCGCCAAAGAACAGGGCATAGTTGAGGGACAAACTCCCGGCGATCATCAGCCAGCCAGCCATCTGGCCGATGTGTAAAATAAAGCGGATTTCTTCGGAGTGCCATTCAGAGACGTTTATTCAGGTTCAACAGTCAAAAGTAGATATGCTTATACAGCTTCTGCATTGAGTAGCGTTGCGTAGCCGCTACGCGGAAATCGGCAATTTCGGTACGGGGGGTGCGATTCCTTAAGGGACAACACTGAACAGTTCCCTGTAGCGGCGATTATGCAGCTTTTTGTGGAACCCTCTAGGACTTAAGCCCACGTGCCTGATTCCATTGAGACCGACCTTTCCAAAACCCATTTATTCAATCCCGATCGTTTGCGAAAAAGCAGCACATGGATGAAGGCAAAAACACATGGGAGGATTCGGTATTCGGTCAGCTGCATCATTATTGTGGGTGTGGACGGTGACCGGGTAGAAGTTGTGGCAAAGAAGGTAGATGAGGGCCTTCACTTCAGGATCGATATCGACTGAGCATTTCTTTCTGAAACGGCGATTCAACGTTGATGTCATGAGCGTTTATTACCATACACACTCTCTCTCGCTCTCTCTCTCTTTCTCTCTCTCTCTCTCTCTCTCTCTCTCGCTCTCTCTCTCTCTCTCTCTCTCTCTTTTCTCTATCTCGTTTCTTCTTCTACTTTTTGAATACCGCTTATGCGTTGACAATCTTCCGGTTGGCTTGCCTCGCGCCGTCTGGCCCAACCTCATCCGGGTGGGAGCATGCCTGAAAAAATAGGGGTGGTTCTGATTCGGTACCGGGGGAGCAGAATCCCTAGTCCCAAATCCCGTTTTCTAGTGCATTTTTATCGGGTTTTATGGCATTTTGTAGACGGAAAAATTCTAACAGTGTTAGAGAATTCAAAAACTCTGACTTTTGTGACCGTTTTTGGTCATTTGCATACATATTGACAAAAACTCCGTTAGTTCCGGATCAAAAGCATATATCTATCTATCTATACCCAAAGACGGCCGGAAAAGCTACATAAAAAGCGCGCATCTCCTCATTGGGAGCCGGCGGAGTGAGAAGTCGATGCTAGCTCCCCCCGCTCACCGCCTAGTACCAACGCTTCAAGGGCAGGAATACACACCACTGTCAGCTTGTCGATGACCTCCTCCGCCAGCGAGACCAGATACTCCTCAATAGCTTCCGGGCCGCGGTAGTTGCCCTCAAACTCGAGCGAGTGCACCCACCCGTAGACGTACTGCTCGAAGCTCGGCTCCGGCGGGTACATTAGCACGTCCGGGAAGCGATCTTGCCAGTAGTGGGTGGCGACGAGGTTCCGCAGTTGCTCATCGCTTGTCCTGCCGGGAACCATCACGTCAGGATACGCCTCGAATTTCTGCAACGAGGTTTTTCGTGTTCAGCAGGGGCGGGGGGGAGGGGTTGGGGAGAAGCGGTTGCCGTATCTCGACTCCCTGTTCATCTACAGGGTGTGTAAGGTATACCAAAATGTTCGCCTTGCGCTGGCGAGTATCTTGGTATACTATACTCACCTGTGGATGAACAGGGAGCCGAGATACGGTAGGTGGGGTAAACTGAACCACAGCCAAAAGTTTAGCATTTTTTTAAGATTGCCTAGCAATCAAAAACCAAGAATAGGGCTGTAAAGGAATTAATCTTCACCACACCAAACGGACAACACCTGCAACAACGACGAGATCGACATGCTGAGCGTTATAGCGAATCCGCGTGCCAGACGGAGGCACACACGTTTCAGCAGGTCCAGCGTGACGGCCTTGTTGGCGATCCCATCTTTCACAATGCTTGTCTCTTCCTCCAGCACCTTCTCCGTGATCTCGTCCGGGTAGGGGGCCATCAATTTGCAATTCTTGACGGCCATGATCGCGATCATGCTCTCCAGCGTTCGGCTATATTCGACAGGTGTCGTTTTTAGAATATCGCGGTCTGGATCCTCATCCTCGTAGCTGTTCTTCCGCTGAGGCATCAGCTGGTAGACGAGGAGAAGGAAAAGTCCTAAAAATAAAATCTCTAAAATCTGTCCGTAAGATACCTCCAAGAAGGATAGCATAGCCCAGGTCGAAGTCGGCGTCGACGTCGTCGCTATCGGCTCGGAAAGTGTATCAAAATAGCGGGGGGGGGAGGTGTTCGCTCTGGCTTGAAGCTCCGTTTTGTTCTAATACTTTTATGGCTTCTTAAGCAGTTTATAAGTATAGAAAGTTGGCAAAAAAATTGAAAAGCGTCAAAAAATGGCCAAAACCAGGTTAAAAATTTCAATTGTTTTTGATGATTTGGTAATTGGTGGGAAAACGAAGCGTACCCCATGGCCATAACGGAGTGTTTGAGCACGAGGATGAGCAGCAGGGTCAGCATGCGGCCAAAAAAAAACGGTGGCGAATGGCATGTAGACAGCTTCCGTTTAGAGCCGGCATTTTCAAGAAATATATTCTTAATTCAAAATTTGGATGCAAAATTTCGGCTTCACTTGAAATTCAAAAATTTTCCCAAAAAATATTTATTCAATCCCATTTTTTGCGGGAAAACACATGGGAGGACTTGGTAATCGGTCAGATGCATCATTTTGGGCCGTAGTGGCAGGTGACCGGCTAGGAGTTGTGGAAGAGAACGTAGATGAGGGCCCGGACTGCAGCATTCCTAGTGCTGCATCGGAAATGGATCGTCCTGAAATCTGGACATATCTTTTTATCTTTTTTTTTGTATTATATTTTTTGGAGGCTAACCGATTTGGATTTTGATATTGATCAGATTCATCGCTTACCCCAAGGGCGTTGACCATGTCCAGCTGAGCTTGCGACGGGCCGTCTGGTCCAAACTTGCCCCGGCCGGCGCATGCCTGGAACATGTTCGTTTTTTCAGGTAGCTATGCGATTACGCCACCTAACCGTAAAAAGATAAACCAGTGAATTGTTTGCTGAATTTCCCAAGTAGCACCCAGCTTTGTATCTGACTCCCAAATTGTTCATGGCAAAAGTATGCTGAAGAAATTGTCTTGTCGAAGGTATTTTTATATATCTTAAAAACCTGTGGTAGAATTGTGAGTTTGTCATTAGGTGGGGTCATTGATAAAATCAACATGAGTCACCAGCCACAAGGTGGGGGGTTGATCTTACATCTATATTCTTATTAAAATTAGAGCCTCAAAGTCATGTGAAAACAAAACTGAGAGCCCACCTCAACTACCCTCCTCACATCCTTTGGGTCACAGGTTTGAAGGTGACTGCTCAATCCTGTTCATACCCTGTTGAGGTTGTTCTTCCTCAGCCATGGTAGCCTGGCCCACTAAAAAGACACGTCATCTGTCCATTATATCGCCATCAATCCTCCTGTAATTGGCAGAGCTCCGGACGAGATGAGACGGTGCAGCAGCACTCCAGTGGCATCACGACGACGCGGTCAAACCAGGTCTCAAAACTGCAGAGATCAGATGAAACAAACAATTAACAGAGTTTTTTACCTAGTGCGACATGCAAGAAGGCCTTTGAGAGGTCCATAACTGAGTGGCCTTATGATGTTTTCCTTAACAGAGTTGTTCTGCCTGAATATGTTCTTTTTTCTCAACAGAATTGACTTAGAGTTTGAGTTTCGAATGATCTATCAGGTGGGGCGATATCAAACAGAGCCCTAGAATATGAGTATTTTTGGTTCACTTATACAATTCAGATGAACAGGATTAGATATGGTATCTGTACTGGCCTGGGTGGTATCTGGAGTCAAACATGGCTGAGATTTTGTTATAAGGCCGTGGAGAATCACTAGGAAATCTTGACAACATTAACTAGA